TGATTCATTTTAATTAAGCGGATTAATATGGATTACAAATGAGTACCCATTAGGTTGAATATTTATCTTTTATTAAATAACACAAGTAATAAAATTAAATAAATATATTAATATACCAAAAAATACATACATACACACTAATACACCAAAACATACACACACTTATACACAAAAAACACACATCTTAATACACAACTCGTGACACACGGGTTGGGCCATAACCCATGGGTCAACCCACAAACCAACTCATAGCTCACAATTGGCCCGACCCATTATGTGTGTATTTTTTTTTATTAAATGTGTTATGGTTTTTGTGTTAATATATGTGTGTGTATTTTTAGTGTATTAGTGTATATTTTAGTGTACTACTGTGTATATTTTTAGTGTATTAGTTTATGTGTGTTCTGGTGTATTAGTGTGTGTGTATGTATATATTTGTATTTTTGTGTACTACTAATGTGTGTGTGTGCGCATTTTAGTTTACTAATGTGTCTATTAATAGTTTTAATTATTTTATAGGTTAATCGGTTTAACCCAATTCGTTATAAATTCAACTCATTATAACTCATTTACTATATAAATGAAAAATGAATTGAATTTATTTTAACCCAATTCAATTTATTCCAACCCAATCCACTCATTTGCGATCTCTAGTTTGCCATCACCACCCTCCCACTTCACAAAGTTGCTTAAATAAGTTCGAAAGAACAAAATTGTTAATAAAAAGTTGATACACTATCTAAAATATTTCGAATTGAAATGCATTCTTCTTTGAAGCAACTTCTTTAGCTCATTCTCGCATCTTTGCTTTGACCACCTCGCTATTGTCTGCCAACTTATCATCACCCTTTCTGCCAGCCTCAATGCTCAGATATCGTTGATCAGCTCGAAGATGTGGAGGTGGCTGTTCCGAGCCACAGCATTCCCATGCTTCAAGGTTAATTCCACATTCCATATAATCCGTGCCCGCCATTGCCAGAGCTTCGATTGACATACCTTCTCACAAAGTATGCACTAAGACTAAGATCCTCGATGAGAAATTTTTCAAGTGATTCCAAAGAGGTAATTGGAGCATTTATATATCAGTGTCCTCTTTCCCTGTTCTTGACAGAGTCAGGTTTTATACATTTATATAATTCACATTAATGTATCCGTGATCTCTCTCTCTCTCACACACACACACACACATACACACAACTGAAAATTGCAGATAATTTTCAAAGGACATATGGTCCCAAAAATGTGTTTTGAGGTCAATATCTGACTTATGAGATAAGCACCATGTGGCCCGGAAGTGCAGCGTCAAGAAATTTGACCCAATGGTATCGCCTTTAGTCTAATGGTATCTTTTATATTATAAAGACTTTATCTTGTGTCAATAGTTCAAGTCTCATTTATCTTATAAATAAAAAGATTAAAAAAAGAGAAATATTATTTGGAGACCGTATTTAGGGATCTTATTTGCTCTTAAAAAAAGGGAAGAAAAAAAAAAATTTTACCCATGCATGAAAAGGCATGTTGAGAATTTTTACCCATGAAATTTTTTATATAAATGTTAATGGTGCATATACCAAAATTCAATAGGGACCATTGATGAGCTTGCCTTGTAATTGGGAATGTAGATAACATTTGCTTTTACATTTTGAGCATCCCAATGAGGTAATCAGTAACCTCCAAAACCGGTTTTCTTTTAAAAGTTAGAAAAGACAATTTAATGTGTAAGGTAGTACTATATATAGACCACACCTTTTGTCCGTGATACGTACAACAAAAGTGGGAGTTAGTACCACCGGTGGAGGTGTATTTACAACAAAGGAAGTAAGGTTACAACGTATTAGAGTAAGGTTACCACAATTATAGACAAAATTATCACATTTAAAGTTAAATTATGAAGATTGTGAATAAATTTAGAATAGAAATGGATTAAGTTACAGTCACTGTAGACGAATTTACAACTACTTTGGTAATTTTACAACTGTTCAGAGATATTCACTACAGTGGAGGTGAATTTCGAACAAATGGAATAAGGTTACTACCTATTAGAGTAATGTTAGTTACCCTATTTAAAGGTTGCATTACAAAGATTATAGGTAAATTTACGATAGAAATAAATTAAGTACAATCGTTGTGGACGAATTTACAACAACTTTGGTCAAATTATAACTTATGGGTCAAGCCTAAATGGTCCAATCTATGTGAAAAGTCCAAATCTCAATTGAGGAGCCCAACCTCATAAAAGATCCACCAAGCCCAACATAGTCCAAAACCATTCAGACTCTTTGCTTGGCTATGTCATCAAGAGGGAGAGCATGGGGGCCTTACCTTCACCACAGAAAGAAACGGTCCACCCTCACCTTATCTTTCACCGCATCTCATGGAGAGCTCCCCAACCTTCTCGCCTGTTGAGGAGAAGTCGTAAACTCCACCAAAATAGCCGTTTAGTTGCTGTAAAGTAGTCCCAATCTGTTAGGGGACCACTATAAATTGCACACTTCGCCAACACTTGGGGGTCATCACACTTTACCTGAGCACGACTCTCTCCTCTCTTTTAAAGCTTGTACTCTCTGCTCCCCACATCCCTGAGCTAATAAAAGTACCCGGCAACCAAAGTCATTCAAGAGTGGACGTAGGTTATGTTAACCGAATCACTATAAACCTTATCTCATTCATCTCTCTTTACTTTAAATTATTGCATTTATTTTCAATCACTTGACAGGTGGTGTGCAAAGTCATTTTGTGCATCATCAGTTTTGCGTATTCTGTGGGAAATTGATAAAATTCTCACTCCTAAACATTGCATTTGTTGAACCAATGACGATCACTACCAGATCCATGAACCAACCTAAAGACAATCCTCCACGAGAGGAGGAAGTTGCCCCTCCACCTACCAACTCTGTCTCAAATGCTCCAGCTCCAAATCCATAACAAATGCTGGAGACCATGCAACAGCTGGTGGCCCAAAACCAGCAGATACTGCATCTCATGCTCGCCGGACAAGGAGGATCACAACTTGGTGGTGCACAGCAAGGAGGACCCCAAGGAGCTCTACGCCCTAGACATCAAGGAGCTCCACACCCTGCTACTACTCCGCACCTAGGCGCCCCTTTGGAGTCCCCTTGGGTGCCCCACATAGGGGAGCCCAACATAAGGGAGTTCCACCCCCTCCTCCTCCTCCTGCTTCCCATGATGAGGACCCTCATCTCTAGGAGGATGAGGGTGAGAACCAAAGCATGGAGTATGAGAGTCATTTCCATGATCATTCCAGGGGAGCCCCCAACCATTGGGATGATAAGATCAAGGAAGTACAAAATCAATTGGATGACATCTTCAATGCCATGAAGGCGTAGGGATTCGAGACAGTAGACTACCTGGTAAGGCGTATAGACACGCCCTTCAAGCCTGACGTGGTTAACTATCCCCTCCCTTAGAAGGTTAAAATACCATCCATGGAGACCTTTAACGGAAGAAAAGATCCACCAGACCACCTTGACACCTATAAAACTCTTCTGCAACTGCACAACATCCGAGACGAAATCATGTGTAGGTTATTCCCAACCACATTGAAGGGGTCCACCCGACAATAGTTCACTAAGCTCTCCCCAGCCTCCATTGACTCCTTTGTCGAACTGAGCAGGTCATTTCTTTCGCATTTTATTGGAGGGCGTCACCACCAGAAGCCTGTCACACACTTGTTTAGCTTAAAACAGGACCGCGAGAAGAGCCTGAGGAGTTACCTCACTCGTTTTAACGGGGAGGTACTCCAAGTTGATGAGCCCGACGACAAAGTGACTATGACTGCCTTCTTGGGAGGCCTCCACTCGTCAAGCTTCCTTTTCTCAGTGATGAAGCGTCCACCAAAGAGCATGTCGGAGTTGCTAGCAAAGGCTCAAAAATACATGAATGCTAAGGACATCACAAGGGTCAGGCGAGGTGAGTCCTCCAGAGCAGGGGAAAAGAGGAAGGGAAGGGATAAGGAAGACAAGAAAGAGACTAGCAACAAATGCAGCAGAACAGAGAGGGTTCCTGTCAAAGACTGGTTAGGTCTTGCTCCTCAGAGGGACCAACAAGCCTTCACTCCCTTCAATGTCGTTGTCGGGCACATCCTATTTCAAATCCAGGATGACCCCGCCATAAAGTGGCCAGGAAAGATGAAATCTCCTCCAAATCGTAGAAATCCTAACAAGTACTGCCGTTTTCACCGCGACCATGGGCATGACACCGATGATTGCTATGACCTCAAAAGACAAATTGAGGAACTCATCCACCGTGGTCACCTATGCCAGTATGTTGCTGATAGGGAATGAGCAGCACCACCTCATAATCAAGAAGACCAGCAGCCCGTGGGGGAGATCCACATCATCTCGGGAGGACTAGTAGAAGGTGGAGAATCACTCTCTGCAATGAAGGCCCACGCCAGAAAGGCAAGACACCTCGACAAGATGTGCCCATCCAAAGTGCTAAAGTAGGGCGACAACGATGTCATATCTTTCTCAGATAAGGACCTAGAGGGAATCCAGCACCCCCATGACGACCCCCTGGTGCTCACCATGACTGTGGCCATTTTTAGGTGCGTAGGATCCTAGTGGATAGCTGCAGCTCTGCGGATATACTATTCGCAGAGGCTTATGACACGTTCAACCTAGGCAGGGAGAGACTGTAGCCTATTAGATCACCCCTAATTGGGTTCTCAGGGGAGAAGGTGTATCCCCTAGGTTCCATCACCCTACATGTCACAACCAGAGCAGCACTCCGAAGCTCCATAGTCATGGTTAATTTCTTAGTCATAAACTACCTATCAGCCTACAACATCATACTGGGGCGACCTGTTCTTAACACATTAAGAGCTATGCCCTCCACCTATCACCTCATCCTCCGCTTGCCAACCACGAATGGAGTCGGAGAGGTCAGAGGAGACTAGGTAGCAGCAAGGGAGTGCTATGTCTCCTCCATGAAGACCAGGAAGATATATGTGGCGTTGCAAGTTGATGCCCGTGACCCAAGGGATGACGCCACCATAGAGAGAGGAAAATCAGTCGAGGAGCTCACCCCTATGGTCTTGGATAAGGAGCACCCAAACAAAAGAGTATACATCGGCTCTTCCCTTTCTGAAGATTTGGTTGGCTCGCTAATAGACTTTTTGAGACGTAACATGGACGTCTTTGCATGGTCACATGCAAACCTTGAGGGCATTGACCCAAAAGTGGCTACACACCATCTCATTGTCAACCCACGCCACAAGCCTGTTCGCCAAAAGCTAAGGGGCGCCTCCACTGAAAGGGCCCAAGCTATGGACAAGGAGGTAGAAAAGCTAAAAGATAACGGGGCCGTCAGAGAAGTAGCATATCTTGAGTGGCTCTCCAACGTGGTGATGGTCACTAAAACTAATGGAAAGTGACGTCTCTGCGTTGACTTCACAGAACTCAACAAAGGCATGCCCGAAAGATAGCTACCCGCTGCCACGGATCAACCTCCTCATCAACACCACCGCGGGGCATGAGTTACTCACTTTCCTTGATGCTTACTCTGGGTACAACCAGATTAGCATGTACCCCCCAGACCAAGAGAAGACATCATTCATCACTCCGAAGGAAACTTATTGCTACAGGGTCATGCCATTCGGACTGAATAACACAGGAGCAACCTACCAACAGTTGGTGAATAAGATGTTCCAATCTCAAATCGGGCGAACGATAGAGGTGTACGTGGATGACATGATAGTGAAAAGTCTCACAATAGTAGACCACATTGATCACCTCTAGGAAACTTTCAATGTCCTAAGGTCCTATCACATGAAGCTCAATCTTGAGAAGTGCACCTTCGGCGTAGGGTCTGGAAAATTCTTGGGCTTTATGGTCAATCAGAGGAAAATTGAGGCGAACCCCGATAAAATCAAGGTCATCCTCAACATGAAGTCACCTTCCTCGACCAAGGAGCTCCAGCACCTCAATGGGAGAATTGCAGCACTCAATAGGTTCGTTTCCAAATCTACAGACAAATGTCTACCCTTCTTCAAGATTTTCCTGAAGGCCTTTGAGTGGGAACCTGAGGCAGATGAGGCATTTCAAAAGCTCAAAGTCTACCTAGCTACACCTCCCTTCCTATCACATGCCACTCCGGGATAAACTCTCCATCTTTACCTTTATGCTTCTTCATCAGCAGTAAGCTCAATACTCATCAGAAATGATAATGGAGTGCAGAAGCTAATTTATTATATGAGCAGGGCATACTGGGGGGCAGAGATCAGATATTCGGGAATAGAAAAATTGGCGTTCGCCCTGATCACGACGGCGAGATGACTACGACACTACTTTCAGAGTCACAGCATAGTGGTCGTCACAGACCAACCTCTTAAAAGAGTCTTGAAAAAAGCCAGACGTATCCAACAGACTTCTTAAATAGGTAGCAAAACTCGAAAAGTTTGACATTCAGTACCAACCAAGGGCAGCCATCAAAGCACAAGCCCTGACAGATTTGATTGCCGACCTCACACCAGTAGAAGAAGGGAACTGCAAGGATGCCTAGATGCCCAACGGGGACACCCAAAAGCCTAGCAAAGACTCTTAGGCACCCAAACTGGGCGCTCAGGTCAGTTCTGGTGCCTAGGTCTCCTCCCCAAGCGCCCAGACTTCATCTCCAAGCGCCCAAGCAATCCCCCCCAGGTGCCCAGGCCCCATCTGGCACCCAGGCAATCCGTCTAGGCGCCCAAGCTGCTCCCTTTAGCACCCAGGCTACTTCCCCAGGTGCCCAATCGCCTACTTTAAATTCCAAACTCTCATCTCTTCTACTTTGGAAACTCTATGCAGATGGCTCCTCGACCAGTGAAGGAGGAGGAGCGGGCCTAATCTTGATTAGCCCAGATGGTACCACTCTCAAGTATGCAGTGAAGCTTTACTTCATTGCTTCCAACAATGAGGCGAAGTACGAAACCTTCCTCTCTGGATTAAGATTGGCAGTGGAAATGGAAGCTCAACACCTCGCCACCTACAGTGACTCTCAGCTGATAGTTAATCAAATGAAAAGCGAGTTTGAAGCCAAAGGAGCCAGGATATAGGAATACCTTGGCATGGCGAGAAGCATGATCGCAAGGTTCCACTACTTTGAGATAAGCCACATCCCCAGAGAAGACAACATAGCTGCTGATGTACTCACAAAGCTCGCCTCATCCGTGGAAGCCCCATCAGGAGAGCCAACATTCATTGCTCACCAGTTCGAGCCGAGCAAGTTGGACATGGAGGCCACAAATGTCAATTGTGCATCAGTTGAGTCAAATTAGATGACCCAAATAAGAGCATACCTCCAAGAAGGTGTGATATCAAATGATCCTCTAGAGGCTAGGAAGTTGAGGATGAGAGCCTCCAAGTTTGCTGTCCTGCAGGACACTTTGTACAATAAAGGTTATTCCTTGTCGTTACTGCGATGTCTCTCACCCGAAGAGGAATGTGTATATATAGGTTTTTTACTTGAGTTCTCTAACTATTATTTGAATCTTGTTTGAAATTTATTGTGTTCAATGGATTTTATCTTGTTAAAAGGTTGCAAGGCATATTTTTATGCATCACAATGGCTCTCTTGACAAAACCTTGCCTCTGACATGTCTTTGAAACTCAAAGAAATCACTGTATTCTACGACATAAAGTCTGTAACTAGCTGCAAAAGATTCATGAAAGGAGATTGAATTGAAAATATATGTCTATTGTTGATGAGATTGAGAATGTGAAAAATACTGATCGCTATGGATTTCTACGGTCCAGACAAGAAGTGTAGTGTTTATATTTTCTGTTCATTTCGTTTTAAATTATTAGTTGGTTTGGGGCTAAGCATATTTTGCATTGAATGTTACTGGGAATATTTGGATTGCAGTGCTTGATAATCATAATATCATATTGAAAATGCTGATTTAGAAGTTTCTAATTGTATGCTATCAAATGTTGGCTGCTCTTTTTAGGAATTTGTCAACACAAAGCTGTATGCACGTGTATTTTTGTTGCTATACTGTAACTTCGTAATTAAAAGGATCAATGACATTGCACAAGACCATATATATCTTAAAAAATGTCATGGTTAGGAGACTATTATTTAAAACAATGTTCCAAGAACATATATATCTTGAAATTTTGTTCATGTTTCAATGTTTTAAAGATCTCTTTGGCATATTTATCAAAGCATGTTTTAAAGAACTCTGCCTTAGTTTTATGTGCTCTTTCATTTCACTTTCATTCTTGTGCACCATTACTAAGAGTTGAAACATCCTTTTGAATTTCCTCTGTTTTTCGTATATGCATATTCTGATTGCTTAATTGATTAATTCAATACATGTCTTGTGCTGTTTAATTGTGAATTGTTTAATTTGTTTTTGTCATGACTTTGGGTGTTTGTGCTTCTAATGAATTTGACTGTTTTGGATTTAAAAAGTTTGAACTTGGATGCTTCATTATTTATCAGCTGCTTATGTTATTTTTAATATTCTTGGGCTTCTTTGGTTGTGAAGTGTAATTTTTGTTGTCTAAATACGCATGTAATTTACAAAGTGTGCTTTGCTTCGATAAAGCCCCCGATTCGCTTTGTGCCTTGTGCTACCCCAGGAGATATTAATGCTTTGGTGCATCTTATGCCATAAATAACACTGGTTTTAATGGCAGAAGTAAAGTACGTTAACATATTATGAAAACCTTCAAGGAAGAGGATTGATAAAGCAATTGGCTACTTATACGAGCATAATAAGAATTGCCAAGGCCAACCAAAAGGAACTTACAAGCACCAATGGACATCCAAATTTATACTATAAGATCTCCTAAATGTCTTACATTTGTCTATTTACGCAGAGACACACACAGATGTAATGAATTAGATTTCAGCAATTATTATAGGCCAGCATACGAACGAACTGACCACCTAACCTGATGTTTTAGTAGGAAAGCTTAGTCAGTTAAAGTTGTTAACAAATTAAGATGAAGCTTTAAGTGCCCAAGTAAAGTAGGCTTATATATTATGAAATGTTGTCAAGGAAGAGGAGTAATGAAGCAATTGACTATGTCTATGGGCAGAATAAGAACTACCAAGGCCAACAACAAGGAACTTAGAAGAAGCACAAATGCAAAACAAAATTTAGATATTAACATCTATTAACTGTCTAACATATATATAAAGCACGCTCTTGCATACATAGGAAGTTATATTTGTTAGTCTTTCCCAAAGTGACATTTGCCACTTCGAAAGTATACCACATTATTATCCTATTTGTACATTGAATACAACATGGACAATGGGGTGAGTCTGGTGTATGAACACTTATATATTGCATAGCTGCAATATGCTTTTAATATTTTCAAGGTTGTATTTCTGCTACAAAATTCATCATGTTGAAATATATAGCAAGAATATTGACTGTTGAACTATAATAGAAGTCATATATCCCAAGGACATGGTAATTTAAAATCTAGATTTAAAGCACATGAAGCAAAAGATCAAGAAACTTGATGAGAAAGTTGACAAGGTGTGGGAACAATTGGTCTCCACTTGTATTGAAACTAATGCATGTATCTTACCTTGGGTTCCACTGTAGGATTCAATAAAGATTACTGAGATTCGAAAGGAGTGTGAGGAGTCAACAAATCTCATACCCCAACTAGAGGAAGACATTCCCAAATTGCAAAAACTCTTTCTTGATGAAGAGAAATTCTTAGAGGAAATTAAGGAGAACTCCAAAGGTATTTTCTTCAGTGTAAACAATTAAGATACAAGTATCAAAGCTGCTATGAATTACATTTCACATGCTGCTGGATTAGGGGTGTGATAAATATGTTTGCTCTCTGAGGAGAATTAATGTTGTCCCTTTGTTTTATTCGGTTGAGAAATAGTTGAAACTGAGATGTTCCGTGGTGAGCTAGAAAAGGTTCATGCTGAACTAGAACCTTGGGAAAAACAATTGATTGAGCACAATGGAAAACTTGAAGTTATGTCTACTGAAAGAAATTTTTGAATGAGGAAGTGAGTTGGCATTTGATTGAGTCTCGTCAAGAGTAATTTGTTAATGATCAACAAATGGTTGATCGATCTAGATAACATATGGGCTCTGCTATTTTATGTTTCATGGAAACTTTCACTATTTGATTTTTATGTAGAGCTAGATGTCATAGCTGTGCATTATTCTATTGTGGACTTTTTCAGCATGAAGCTACCCATGCTGCTTATGATGATGCTCAAAAGAAGATGTCTGAAATACAGTCTGTATGGCGTAGATTTATTAATTGATCTCAAGATAAAGTCTAACTTTGCTGTGTTATCAAAGTATATTAGAGCATGCAACATATTCTCTCAGACATGCATATATCTGTGCATCTATTTATACATGTGTGTTTGTTGGAAATGTTTTATTTAATACATTAGGAACACGTTCTTAATATAGCATCTTGAATCAACAAATGCCTCTTAGTTGTGTTTTTGTTATTTCAGGCGTGGGTCGTATTGCTGCTATTTTATCCCTTGAGGTAGAAGATCAGAATGCTTCATTGGATGCCCTCCAGCGTGTTGGATCAGAATTGGCAATGCATGTTGTGGCAGCAAAGCCTTTATTTATGTCAAAGGACCTTGTTTCTTCAGATGCAATAGAGAATGAACGTGAGATTCTCAAGTCTCAGGTACTTTGTGAAGTCATGTTTACTTTCCTGTGGCTTGTATTTAAAGTTAATTGAATTGTTAAGTAAGTGGTTCCGTTAAAAAGGACATGGCTCCCATTTGACCCAAATATACTTTGAGTGGCTTATTAGGTGGGGGAATGGTTCTAAGAGATCATGCAGGCCATGTCATTTTGGCTACTGCTGCATTTTATGATCTTGGCACTAACACGCACACAAATATGTAGAGCTTTGTTGGATGGTTTGAAACTGGTGGTGCAGTATGGCTTAGAAATGAAGCAAATTCTCATTGAATCTGATTCAAAAGTGTTGGTTGAGATGGTGTTGGGGAATGCTGGGGTTCCATGGAGATATAAGGGGTTTTTGAATCAAATTTTGTTTATCATGGGCAGTTTGAATGTAAGGATAATACACATTTACATAGAAGCTAATATGATTGCTGATTTTCTTGCCTCTTGTGTTGTAAAGTCCAGATGCAACTTTGATTTTTCTGCTTCTGGGGTGTTACCAATTGCTGGAAGGTTGTTATTACAACAGGATCAATCCTTATTGCCAACATTAAGGAAGAAATTTGTCTTGAAAGGAGGAACCAAGATTGGCTTGGTATTTGATGATGGTGGTTAATTTTCTTAAGTTGTAGCAGTTTCTGATCCTGCTATTTGTACTGACTGTACTGCTGTGCTGAGGAAGACTCTTGGGAGGAGGTAAAGTGCTTAGTTGCTGCTGAGAGGTGTTGTAGTTGTTTATTGAATACAGGTATTATTGGTATATAGGTGAAAATTTTTATTGGAATATCATTTTTTATGAATTTTTTTGTGATGAAATTAAAATTGTCGCAAAAAATTATAGGAACAATATTTTTGCAACGATTTTTATACCTCGCAAATGCATTTATTTAATTATTTTTTACCTTTTTTTATGTAAAAAATTATTTGACATTTTTTTACGTCGCTAAAAATTATTTAAATTATTATTTTTGATATTTTTATTTATGTAAAAAATTATTAGCAACGATTTTTTTATGTCGCGAACAATCAATTAAATTAATATTTTTTACATTTTTTATTTATGTAAAAAAATTATTTGTGACGTTTTTTTTACGTTACGAAAAATTAATTAAATTGTTATTTTTTACATTTTTATTTATGTAAAATATTATTAGCGACGATTTTTTTTACGTCGCTCAAAATTAATTAAGTTATTATTTTTTACATTGTTTATTTATGAAAAAATTATTTGCGACTATTTTTTACGTCGCGAAAAATTAATTAAATTATTATTTTTTTACGCTGGTGGAATAGATTTTAGCTACGTTTTTTGAAATTTTAGCGACGTTTTGTTTTTGTAGCAAAAAACTTTTTTTGCGACAAAAAATAATTTGCGTCACAAAATACTTTCTACGACGAGGTTATTGCGACGAACACGCGAGAAAAAAAAAACGTCACTAAAAATAATTTGTGACGATTTTTTTTAATTTTGCGACGAAAAAAATCGTCACCAAAAACGATTTTTGTTGTAGTGTAAACAATCCATTGAATTTCAGCTTTTTTATTTTTGTTTACTTATGTTTAACATTGCTGTTTGGAATATTAGGTGACTAAATAAACCCTTAAAGCAAGTTGAAGTGAAAAAACTTATTTTTGAAAACCATCTGGACATTTTGGGCATTGTTGAGAGAGTCAGAAATACTAATAAAGAAGCCATTTGAAGAAATGATTTTAGAAATTGGGCCTTTTTCGCAAACTATGATAGCCACCCTCTTGGCAGGATCTGGATAGGTTGGAATACTGCTACATTAACTATCAATATTGTTTCCCACATGGACCAAGTGATTCACTATGAGGTTGTCCACAATGATAGTAGGACAAGAGCTATCGTCTCTTTCATTTATGGTGCTAATGATGATGACTATGACAGAAGAAGACTTTGAGGTGATTTAATATTTCATTCTAGCTCTTTTAGCTCCCTTCCTTGGCTGCTCGTTGGTGATTTCAATGCCTTGAGAAGTATTCAGGAGCATCAAGGTCATGACATTAGATGGAATCAATCTATTCAGGACTTTAATGATTTGGTGAATGATGTTGAGCTACTTGAATTAAGGTTTTTTGGAATCCTCTTTACTTGGTCTAACAAAAGAGACAGAGAAGATTGCATTGCTAGAAAGCTTGACAGGGTCTAATTTGAAATCTATTAGGGCCAAGATTGCATGTGATGATGTTTGTAAGCCTAAGAAAGAACTCAAAGACTTGAATTATGCTCTTATGTGCAAATACATTTGGCTTCTCTTCATTGATAATCAAAGTCTCTAGGTCAAATGGATTCATACATATCAACTTCAAGGAAGAAGAAAGAACATTTGGGAGTTAAAGCCACCCCAAACATGCTCATGGAACTAGCTTAACCTACTTAAGCTAAGAGATACTTAGACCCCATATATACCATGTTATTGGGAATAGAGAAAGCACTCACTTGTGGTTTGACAATTGGCATCCCCAAGGCCCTCTTCAATCCATATGTGACACTAATGTTATGGAAGATTATGGAATTCCCTTGAATGCTAAGGTAAGATTTATTGTAGTTAGCAACCGTTGAAACTGGCCTACTACAAACTCCCCTCAACTTATGAATATCTCCCTCTCCATGCCTAATAATCTTCCATCTCCACTCAGAGAGGACAAAATCAAATGGTCTCCCTCCCCAAGTGGTACCTTTTCCTCTTCCTCAGCCTAGAATCTCATTAGATCCCCATCCTCAGAAGTCCCTTGGCAACACCTTATTTGGTATAGCCAGTCAATCCCTAGAATGTCCTTCATTTTGTGGCTTGCCATCAAATTCAGATTCAACACCAAACACATAATCCGTTCTTTTTTTGCTAACATTAGTTTGGAATGCTCTCTTTGTATCTCTTCATCCAAGTCTCATGCCACATATTCTTTGAATGCCATTTCTCTCATTCCATCTGGGTCTAGTTGCTACTCCTCAGTGGGCAGCAAAAACATGTCATGGCAGGGGATCATCAATTATGCAAGCCAACATTGGAAAGGTAATTCCATGTACACCACCCTCTTAAAGCTCAGTCTTGCTATATCAATCTATTACACTTGGATGAAAAGAAACATTAGAATTCACCAAGGCAAGCCTAGGGATCACTCCTCCCTCATCAGCCTCATTGTCCAAACCATTAGAGACAAAGTTGCTTCTCTCAAATTCAAGCCCACCAACAGAAACCTGCGAGTCGCTCAAATGTGGCAGATCCCCAATAGTTGTTTGGGCTAATCTCTTCACTACTGCATTTCTTTGGAAGTCTGGACAACCAACCTCACTTCCCCCATAATTCAATAGTTTGGCTCTTAAATAGGTGATTCCTATTGTTTGTAAGGGAACTCACCTTGCTATATCTTGTCCTTCTTGAATTAATAGAAACTTTTTACCTTCCGAAAAAAAAAAAAAATGTGGCCATTGCTAACCCAAATCAACTGAGATTTTTTGAGAAGAAAATCTGATGACAAAATCTCAGCCCCTTTTTTTTCCTACAAGAAAGTATAAAACACCAAAAGGGAATAAGAATTTGAACCTACCACCAATCAATTGATAGCCGACTGATCCACCACTTGGGGTTACTGAAGAAAAATGGACTTAAAAAAATCAACTCTTGACCTGATTGCTTTTTAGCTAAGAGACAAGCTTTTTGATAAATTGTCAAATTCATGATCTTGGCACCAAGATATGAATAAAGATCATCCAAATGGCCTAGCAATCTGCTAAGAAGAAGAGTGTGGTATAGCCTTGGAGGTTTCTATTAGATGTTATTATTGACTGTTGGAATTACTCCAATGATAATTCCATTAGAAAATTGCTCTAATACTATTTTGTTTGAAGTTGAGAGGATTAGAAATAAAATGAGATGAAATAGATTACAACCACAACCTGAACTCTTTACATACTTTTTTTTTTTTTTGGGGGGGGGGAGAGGAGGGAATGAGACTTGAACTCTTGACTTCAAGAAGGCAAAATCTTCACAAGGTAAAGAATACCATTGGACCAAAGACCCATTGGTAACTCTTTACATACTCAAGCAAGTTTACTTTATCTAATACTAGGTCATATACCCTACTTATATAGGCCATATATATAACTATTAACATTACATTGAGGTATCATTAACTACATTTGCTCTTGTAACTGCTAAAACATTACGACTCACTTTTTCCACTGCTTAGAGAATTAACTCACCTCTAATACAATGCACTTGCCCACTACATGATATATATGTTAACATACTAGTAGCCCTCTAACACACCTTATTAAGACACAATAATAACATAGTAAAACTCTAAGCCAAGTTTACTTTCCAACACAAAGTCTATATCAGAGGAGAAAATGTATTTTGTGCTGGCTTGATATCTCACCTAAAATCTTAATGGAAGACTATAATACAAAACTCAAACTCGAGGATGGTTAGAAGAGCAGGCCAGAATGTAACTGACACTGTTGATTTCCAGCATGGTAATCAAAAATTTGGTCCAAATCATAGGATTATATTAGACAAATCGATCTAAGTCTCTTGAAAAAAATTTAGCACATAGAATATTAATGGATCATAATTCGAATCTTGTAGGATTGCAAAATCCCAATTACGATTCTACCAATTCTAGTTACTGAGTTTATTTGGTATGTGCCTTTAGTTATTGAGCTAGTTCAGTCCATATTGATTGTTTTAATACTTATAGGATGTGGAAATTAGAAACAAGTATGATATGATAATCTATTTTACCATTAAGCACATACGCGAACTTATTAGGTCATTAAGGATGCGTAGTATGCACTATTTAGTAAGCATATCCATAAGACCCTTTTTTTTTTCTACCCTGAACTAATCAGGCATATTCTGCTACTATGATTACGTAAAACCATTGAATATATCTTTTCTCTCTCCTCTCTCTTCTGCTCTGTTATCTCTTCTCACGTCACACACACACACACAAACACACACACGCACACATGATCCCAGTGACAGTCTCAGTGACACAATCATAGTGACACAGTGACAGACACAATGACACATCCACAATGATATCAACATCCACATCGACACAAAAACCACCACAGAAACACTATCACTATATATAACAACATTTTATTACAATATACGTGATATCCACATTGACAGACACAACGATGGTTGCAACAACCATAGTTATTAGATTTGGACTGGATAATCGATGATTGATTTGTTCAACTGTTGGACGAACTGGTTGGATTGGTCGTATCATAAAAAAAAATTATTATTAATCATAATGAATATGCTAAAAAATTATAATAGTTATAAAAATAACTAGTTTTATGTTGTTGCAGATCGAATAAAAATCCAAAAATATCATTTTTAGACAATTAACATTCTGATGACCCAAAAAAGAAAAAGAGAAGTAGTTCACCCAACTGGCTACTAATACATTGCAAAGTGCAAAACCATTCTTGATCCCTCATCGGAATCCCAGGGAAGAGGGAAGGACTGGCCTAATATTAATGGCTTTGAAGTCTAGCATGGAACTTTTCAAATGAGGATTCAATATCTTATTCAGTTCAAAAAGTGAACCAGATTTCTGTGAAATTGCCCAATTTTA